CTCGAGCTTGTACGTTTATGTTCAATCCCTTGTTACGAAAAGTTATTGGGAGCGAATTTCTAGATGTATAAGCAAGAGTGTCAATCTTGAACTGAACAATTGAATGCCCGACTTTGCTAAAACTTGAATTAATTATCCCCGATTCTCTAGCTTCTCCATCTTCGTGTCATCCATACTCTTAGGTAGATTTAAATTTTTGCATTGTTATTTATTTCTTAGTTGATAATTATTCATCCCCCTTATCTGATTAGAGTGTTTAGGATTTATTTTCTTTTTATGTGTTATCAATGCCAAAGCTAAGTTCCGAACCGCCTTCCTCGTGAGATCGACCCGGAAAACGAATCTTTCGATTCGGTACTCGATAAAAAGATCAATTTGTACACAAAAAATTTGGCGTCGTTGCCGGGGAAGGCAAGTAGGATGTTTGGTTTTGGTATTGATTTTATTTTCTGTGTTTCTCTTTATTTTTTGCATTTTTAGTGTTTTTGTTCTTTCTCTGCATTTTTGTTTTTCTATTTCGTGTCTTTTTCTTCCTCTTTTTTTTTTCGTGGCTACGTTGGGTTGTTTTGTTCTGTTGTGCAGGGATATGAATTTCAATCACGAGTATCCCTCCCCGCACTACCCCTCTTGGAACAGTGAGCCGAGTTATTATGCCGGATACTACACCCACTCGCACCCATACTCTTCCGAGCAGTGTCGAAACCAATTTCCAGTCGAGCAGACGCATGATTCCAACAAGTTTAACGAGAAGCTCGACCAGATTCTTGATTTTATAGAATCCAAAGCAGCTCGTGAAAAAGAGGCCGCCTACAATAAAAAACTTGATCGGGTTCTCACTCTTTTGCAATCTCAGGCAGCCCGTAGGAGCAATCTAGAGGGCGAGATCGCGAACTTAGTGGAGCACATTCAAGTTATAGAGGACCGAGTTTTCTCTCCCGAGTCCATCATGCAAGACAAGTTTACATATATGGGTGGACTCCGAGAGGATACCTTGACGAGCGATGAAAAACTCGACCTCATCCTTGCTCGTGTGGCGACCCAAGCAACTCGACTAGAGAAGATTGAGGGTGGATGTACCCAAATGGTGGACCAGCTCGATGGGATAATGGATCACATTCAATCCGTCAAGCCACGAG